CAGGACGGCCTCGGTGGAGTAGAGACCCACTCGCAGCCCATGGCAAGGAGATGCCTGAGCCTGAGGATGGTCATGTTGGGGTGCACGACAAGGTAGAGAGGCATCTGGAGTCTGCGTGACGACCCACGCCGGAGCGAGTAGCTACAACTCCCTAAGAATCCGAGACTGTGGTAAAGCCCACACTGGGGCAATCCGTGGGGAAGGATTGCTTCCTGTGGGCTGGACTCACGCTGGAGAAGTTTGTGGATTTTTTCTCTTAAGTAGGGGATCCACTGGAGCAGGGGAAAAGGGTGTAAGGACTCCTCCTCCTTTAAGAAAGAAGCAGCAGTAACAGCACGGAATGAACTGACCTGCACTCCCCCAGTCCCTGCCTCCTTTACCGCTGGGAGGAGAAGGTAGAGCTGGGAGGAAAAGGAAAGGGGGGAGCGGGGAGGAAGATGTCGGTTTTAAGATCTGGCTTTGTTTCTTTTTATCCTCTCAAGTAACCGGTTTTGTTTCCCTTTGTCCTTTTAAGTAACCGTCAATAAATTGTTTTGCTTTTAAGAAAGCCAAGTCTGTTTTGCCCAGGACCATGGTTGGTGGGTGCTCCCTCTGTTCTTGTCTCAACCCTCCATCCCTTTATTATATTTTTCTCCTCTCCACTTTACTGGAGAAGGAGAGACTGTGTGAGTTTTAGTTGCTGGATCAGCCTAAAACCACAGCAAAGCTGAGTAAAGGGAACTTACATAACAAACTAACAGAATTTTCTACTTCTTTTAATGCACCATGAGGAAAGAAGTAGCTAAAAAACCCAGTGGTATAAGTAATACCTCTATACTACAATAGTCGTGATCATTTGACAGTTTTATGCTTCCCACAAAAGATGCTGCCTTATTTGTGATCAGGAATCAAAATAACTTCTCATGTTTTCTAGCCATTGAGCAGATTATTTAATTTCTCTGTATCTTTTTGTGCTTGTCTATTCAACAAAGACTAGGTAAACTTAAGTGATAACAGCTCAGATACATATTATGGGCATTATATTATTATACATATAATATTATGTATTAATATACAAAATATTTACATGAAAATAGGAATATAAACCTGTTTTTTTCCATAATTTTATTACAAACTTCAAGATAACCATATTGAACTACCAGAAGACACTTTCTCCTTATATGTTTTTGTATGTGCAAAATTCTGTAACACAGTATTAATACCAATGAAGATCTCAATATATTTATAAACAAAGATCCACGTCAAAGTGTTTTCAAATTCATCTGGCTCTCACAATGTCTCAATAAGTACCTACATTGATTTAGGGAGCCTTTAAGTAAAAAGATCCTATATAAGTATTCTTATGCAAAGCGGTAAAAAAAACAATGAAAACAAGAAGTACCTCATTTATCTTCTCTTCAGATGTCTCATCTTGGTTATTTCTGAATTCTTCATTTATCTTTCTTCTTGCAGCTGAATAAAGTAAACAAAAAAAAAACAAAGTGTGAACAAAAAATTATATCTTCTCTTTGTCACTGCCTCAAAGCTTAGAATCCTAAGTCCTTGATAGCACCTTCCTGATGCACTCTGCCTGAAGCATTTTAATATAAGATTTCCATGGAATTCAAGTGATGTCAAATTTGAAGATGACTGGTATAAGAATAAGTTAGGACTGCCTATCAGGCATTCTGAGCTTTAAAAATAACTAATATATAGAAGTGACTACTAAAAGTTGGTTTACTAAAATAGCAGTATTTATTCTCTGAGGAGCAACTGTACATACAGAGAATCAACTCAAATGCTTGGTACTGTTAAACATGCTTTGGCTGGACTGAAAAGAAGAACTAAACAACCTGATCTAGATCCTGAGCAACCTGATCTAGTTGGAGATATCCCTGTTCCTTGCAGGGGGGTTGGACTAGATGACCTTTGAAGGTCCCTTCCAGCCCTAACCATTCTATGATTCCATAAGAAATAAAAAAAACAAAGCAAAAACAATCTCAGAAAGATCATCAAGGTTCCTACAAAGAGACATTTTCCTTACGAAATAAGGCTTGAGCACTTGAATCTAACAACCAGGTTTTTCTTTCAAATTAAGGGATGTCTGGTTATACACAGACTTATGTTTTCCCATATGATTACTTACAGAATGTGGAAGGGAATAATTTGAAGTAAGATTATGTTAAGAATTCTGTGTATTTGCAGAGGAAAGTTCCACCCACAGGAAGACAGGCAAGCATCTACCACACGGAAAAAGTATCTCACCTTCAAGGGCTCTGGTATCATTTTTAAAAACTTCTTGTCGAGTTCTGTGTAATAATTTAAAAAGCTTCAAAACCTGTAAATACGACATCAATAGAATTAGCTTGTTTGCTAGCAGGATTCTTAGTTAAAATGAACACGTTGCAATTAAGAGTGTTCTGGTTGATCTTTCACATTCTTTCAGTTTAACACAGAATTTGGTATTAATCAGTATCTAAGATACTTTACCTCAATTTCTGATGAAATAACTGGCAGCCAAAGTACATGTGTGGAAACCAAAATCCGAGACAGTTATAGACATTTCATATTAATCTAAGATGCTAAGGAGTACTAGCACTACACTCCTAAACAAGCATTTGGCATGATGGGAATATAATCCTGAAAATACACTGATGCAAACATATTTATTGTGCCAGTATCAAATAAACCCAACAGAATTGGAATAACTCTACAAGTCAAGTCACCTGAAGGGACTATCAAGGGTACATCACTGGATATTCTCTGAGTACAAAAAAAAAAGATAGAAATATAACGGCTAAAGTGTTCTCACACTTACAACCCAATGTGAGAAAAATTAATTTCAGAAGCATCTCAAACTGTATATTAACTAATTCAACACTTATTTTTCATGTCTAATACCTGGGCATAACCTTCTTCAGGTGATGTGGCAAAATCAACACAAAGCAAAGTTCTTCCCTAAATATAACCGCCACAGAAACTTCAGTAAAAGCCAACACTCAAAAAATTAAGATTTATATTGCAGAGATGACACACTTCACTTAAAGCAAAATCCCTGAGAATCACAGCTTACATTCATGTTGTTTTGGCTGTTTATTCATATAGACTGTAATGAATTACAGAAATCCTCAAGTCCTTATCAGACTGTTTTGGTGTTTGTCAGAGACCAAAAAGAATCTCTGACAAGCATCACAAAAAAAAATAATCTTGATAACAAGATACCTTTTGAAGTTATTTCTACTACTTTCTAGTGTGTTTTGGCATCTCTAGAAGGCACAATACCAGGTACTTCACAATAATCCTAAATCATTTTCTCACAACTAATATTCAAAAAATTTCTTAGAAGGACACAGAGGAAACACAGGGCTGTAACTGAGAAATTACCATCTTCTTTATCAGCATGCTCTCCATCTGTGAGCTGGAGATGCAAACAAGACTGTCCCCTAAAAGTAAAAGGCCAATAAAACATCCTGGCAGAGCCCTGAAAAAAGTGTTGCCTCTGCTTTAAGTTTTCCAACGACAGAGAGAGAAATGGCTAGCTTCTCTGAAAGCTATTACTTCCAACAGATATCAACACATTTTTAGATTTTCAAGCTAAATTTTCACCGTTTGCTCAGCTGGTCACTTGACTACACCTTAAGATAATTCACCCAGAAGTGTTCACACAAAAAAAGACCGTTTTTAGGACGGGGAAGCAGATACAAAACAGTAAAAACAAGCAATCTTCCAGTTCAGTACTGCTTCTTTAACATAATAGTATCACAACTTTAGCATTATTAAGGGGACAACTTCCAAATATGCACAAATTCAGACCTGGCTTCACCACATGTATTGGAGCACATCATAATTTCTACTGTAATTTACGATTTAGCATCCAGTTGAGCATATGCTACTGCATCACAGATCTTTCTAGAAAGAAGAGAAACCAGTGCATTCTCAATTGCTTAAGAATCTCGAGAATGTCGAAGTAAAAAACTTTTGTCACTTTTACAAGAGTTAGTATGTGACTTGACAATCAGTTAAATTAATCTGAGCAGAGAGAAACAAAAGAACATGGACTCTGCTAACTCCTTTGGAGTTTCTGTATCCTTAGTAATCAGCAACTGAACAGAACCATGTTGCCTTTAATTGCAGCATTCTCTAGATTGCTGAGCCTGTGGAAAGTAAACCAACAGAATTAAAAGTCAGCAAATAGCTCTGTAGATGTATATTAAGAGAACTGACTGACTGACTTGGACAGGACATCTGAGATATTTCTACCTCATAATATTTTTACCATCTTTGCCAACAGCAAAATTAATATTACAAATGGTTTTGAGTGAAAGATATGTATGGTGAAACCTGAAGAAGCGTTTTATGGTTATTCTGAACTCTTCGATCAAATGGGCCAGTGCAAACTGCATGAGCTTCAACAAGTCAAAATGCAAGGTCCTTCACCTGGGTCAGGCCAATCCTAGGCACAAATACAAACTGGGCACAGAGTGGGTTGAGAGTAGCCCTGAACAGAAGGATTTGGGGGTGTTTATAGATGAGAAGCTCAACATGAGCCGGCAGTGCGCTCATGTGGCCCAGAAGGCCAACCGCATCCTGGGATGTATCAAGAGAAGCGTGGTCAGCAGGTCAAGAGAGGTGATTCTCCCTCTTTACTCTGTTCTTGTGAGACCCCACTTCGTATACTGCATCCAGTTCTGGTGTCCCCACCATAAGAGACACATAGATTTGTTGGAGCATGTTCAGAGGAGGGCCACAAAGATGATGCAGGGGCTGGAGTACCTCTGTTATGAGGACAGGTTGCGGGAGCTGGGATTGTTCAGTCTTGAAAAGAGAAGACTTCAGGGGGGACCTAATAGCTGCCTTCCAATACCTGAAGGGAACTTACAGGAAGGCTGAGGAGGGACTTTTTACAAGAGTGTCCACTGACAGGACAAGGGGAAATGGGTTTAAGTCGAAGGAGAACAGATTTAGATTAGATCTTAGGAAGAAATTCTTCAGTACGAGGGTGGTAAGCCTTTGGAATAAATTGCCCAGAGAAATTGTGGATGCCCCTTCCCTGGAGGTGTTCAAGGCCAAGTTGGACAGAGCCTTGAGTAGCCTGATCTAGTTGAGAGGCATCCCTGCCCATGACAGGGAGGTTGGATTAGATGATCTCTGAGGTCCCTTCCAGCCTATGCCATTCTATGATTCCATGATTTTCAGGCATCATCCTCTGCTATTTGCCTATTTCTGTAAACCTCTCCTGGAAAGTTCTTCACATCAACCATGGAGTAGTCATACTAAATTACTTTGGAGCAAGACACATTAATACACAGACTTCTCTGAGCTCTACAGTCACCTAATGAAACACAGAACTCTTGTAACACCTCAGCGTATTAGGACTCCTCATACTAGACTTCAGAACACTTCCGAAACAGGGACTTAAACGGCCCCAAAGGTACTCTATACTGTAAAGATGAAAGGTTTACATAAGCCTCCTGTCCTTGCTTTTCTTCATCTTCTCATCACAATTCATTCTTCTGATGTATTTTAACCTCTACTTGATTGCTGTCTCTCGTTTCCTTTTTCCGCAATGGCCTTCGCCTGCAGAACTCTGTACTGCCTATTCTCGCATCCTTCTCGCCCGGAAAGCCTCCGCATACCGATGCCACCAATACCGGGAACTACTCGGAAAAGAGCTCCGGCCTTCCAGCGGCACACAAGGAAAAACTCCCCACACACAACGTGCCTGCTTACTGACGACGCCCTACGGCTGCAGGTTTGCGGGGAACACCGC